TTCAACGTCGGTTTATCCCGTTTGTAACGTTCTTATACCACTTGACACGAATGCAACATGTCTGACTCGGATCAAATTGACTCGAATTATCGCGTCGCCGAAGCGGGATGCACAGCCAGATCCAGGACAGGGCTACCGAATACGTGTTAATTCTCGCACGTCTAGCGTTAGTGCTGCGGCTCGAAGGGCGGAATCCCAATAATAAACTAAGTGGTGTGGGGACCCGTACCATGGTGGGGGTAATATTCTTCCAGACCAATTAGATGCACAGTATTTTTTCTGTACATTCCTTTTAGAGTAATTTACAATCAATTCTAGGATTCAGTAAAAATGTAGCGATATATAATGCTAGCACAGTAAAGTGGACCAGGATACACAAACAACTCAATAATGAAAGAAATGACAATTATTAAATTAAATCGTGAAAAAACAATTGCTTAAATTTTCTAGAAGAAGATATACAAATTCTCCAAGTAATACAATTGATTAAATATTGGATTTGAATACATAAGCCCAAAACATAAATTCCACAACAATCATGTAGTTACTTCAATAAAAAAACATAATATTCTATTAATGAAAATACTTATCTTCGAGTGCCTGGCTGGAAGAAATCCTTTCATTCAATCAGTATTGAATTGATTTAGCAAATCCACTTCTATACGAACTACTGAGGCGAAATAAAACTGCTTCTGATATCAAAAAATTTTATAGTATTAGATATTCCAATTATGTTTACTTGTATTGTAATTCCAAGCATTGCAAAAGAGATCATTACTTTATGAAATTGCAAATGAAATATAATTAGTGAACATGGACAATATTGATTTTCCAAAATTAAAATATATTCATTTAATTACTATCAATCCAACCAAACTTTACTTGTCAATGGGACATTACAAGCAATCAAAAGAAGGAGCTCTCTATATCACTTGCTTAGCAATAGCAATATTTAATGTTACATGCTAAGCCATGAGTTTCCAATACTATCTTTGAAATTTCTTCTTTAATAAGAGATGGCATCACAAAACATTTTAAATGGAAAAGCAATGTAAAACAAACAATTCTTTGAAAGAAATTATTAAAGCTTTATTACCACTCGCTACAAATTTGAAACAAATGAATAAATCTTTTTCATACTGCACCATTATTTTTACAGATGTCAGAAGCTTGGTTGTATTACACAAAGTCGCAATAGGATTAATATCTTAAAAACGATAAGAGTTTGAATGGAAGTTACCTTTCTTAGTTTCACGTACATTAGTCTATTCTTCCTATTTTCACATATTATTTTCAAATTATTTTACACAAAAAATTATCTTATTAATTTATTTGATAATTTCAAATGTCTAAGATTGGAATGAGGTTGCACTAATAATTTCCAATTTTCATTGCTTTATGAAATCTCTCTCGTGCGGATCAGGATCACGAAACTCGGATCAACTACGAATTTGATCCTGGTTGGTGAAACCGGCCCTATGTCCCATATGGCGTTAGTTCTACTGACTTCACTCCGATTTCGATTTTGAGTTACCTTTCTGTAATTGGTTCATTTCTTATGTCTTATGTAAGCATCAGCACAGAAGCTTGAAGCTTTTAAGTTATAGTCTTATGTGTTATGCTTATACGAATGCATTGTGAATGAGTCGCTTATGGCCGAAGTCCTAACTTTTATGTTAACGCCATGCTTATGTTTACGTTTGCATTGTGAATGGACCTTTGGTCCCCCAGACCGAATAAATGTTGTTCCTCCTCAGTCCCCCCCTCCCTAGTCTGTGGCCAACGCTGGCACCTTAATTCTTCATAGGATTTTTTCGAAACTAAATACCTTCTGGACGATCTGGCCCCTCTCAAAACTCTGACTTTGAATAACATTCCTTAATGTTTGGGGGGTACTTTACATGAAGCCATTCGGACATCTTCAAATATTGCTAGAAATTTTTCCTTCAAAGTTTTTGTAAGAAAAGAGTCAAATCCACTTATAAAGATGGAATAGGTCGATTTCAATCGTTTCCTCTCAATTTTGAAAAATTGCAAAATTTCGAAACTTTTCAGCATATTCCTTCAACTAAAATTGAAGATATTTTTCCTTCAAATTAAATTTGTTTTCAATAATTAGTTATTTCAATATTTTATGGAACATTTTTGTATTTTTCATGAAATATAGCGTGGAATAAGTGCAAAATAAAAAAATAAGAATTTCTCAAAATGGGCTCAAAAAGTTTTTCTTAAGACTTTTGGTGGGGATAGTGCTAAATGTACTGTATATAATGGCATGATAATAAGATGTATTTCGCTAAATTCTTTTTTTTTTCTTCTAAAATTAAATAAATACAATGTTTTTGACATCTCACTCCTGTTATTTACATAACTGGCAATGAGAATGCTATCTTGCAATTAGAGTATATATGGTTCAAATGAAGGTTATAAGGTTTCTCAATAACTCAAGAATGTTCAGTGAAAACAGGCTGAAATTCAGTTTTTTAGAAATGCTTAATCAACAGTTTCATGAAAACAGTTCTATACGTTTTCTTTCTATTTATTCAACAGATAATGCTAAAAGGACTGAACAACATGGCATCAATGCCAACTTGATGTATTCTTTTGATTTTACAAAAATTACAGATATGTAAAGTATTTGAAATATTTTTCATGTCCTTAATATTTGCATTACCAATGATTTCTACACAGTTTGCATTCGTGTGTACAATTATTTCAAATTATTTCTTACGAAGTTTCTCAAAAACTCAAACGTTTAGGGGTGCAAATGAGCATTGTCACAAAAGATCAAGCACCAATTTCTCAAAAAATGTCTCCAAATTTTTCAACAATAATTGCCAAAGGGCCAAGGTTTTACTCTTCTCTAATATTTTAAAGACTTTTTTAATTCTACCTTTAGGAAAATGAAAAATAGTAAAAATGTAGTTTGGGTGGCAACAGATGGGAACACAGAAGGGTGGGGCAAAACAAAAACCTAGTACAGACCTAAAACAAAGCAGAAATCTAACTAGTAGGAGAAAGTGTATGCCTTCTGTAGAACCACTAGTTTATCTTCAGAATGAACAAAAACATACACAACAAGTAATACAAGATTAACCAATCTCAGAAAAGTAATCCTTCCACGTCTGCAGAATAGCTCTTGATTATTTCCAGCTCCTTGGGAAGGATTTTGCTTCTAAATAGAAACATTATTTTCAATCACTTAATATAATGTTAGTATACACATTAATACATAATTTTTTTCTGTGATTTGTTAAGTAATAACTGTTTATGCTTAGATGATAATCGCTCCAATGTATTGCACCATAGATTCTTACTGTTTTACAATGCAAACTTCAGTAACAGAAGGTGTGTTTACAGTGTAACAAAATGTTATCATGGAATAATGTCTCAAAAACTTGAATTGTCTTCTTAAAATGCTTCAAATATAAATAGTATATAAAATAAATACAATTTCATAATTTAGTTTCTATTTATGGTTCATAGATGTTTGCTCATTTTGATGTACAACCTGACAAATAATTTACTTTTTGCTTGAGGATGTTACATTTAATACATATGTCCAAAAGCAAATTATTTCTTGATTGCATTTTAGTTTTGATCACTGAGATTTTAGGTTGAACATGGTTACGAACTGAAGACTAATCTCTAAATTCAGAATTACTGCTAAATTGGACACATTTCTGCAGTAAGTACAAATGCATTTACTACACAAACCCAAATCATTTCTGATATAATGGGAACATCCAATATTAATTAGAAATTTTAAAAAAACCAGTGAATCGGGAAAGAATGAAAATATATTGATAAAACTGATAAGTATTAAGACTAAAAATAAATGTACCTAAGGAGGATCACAAGAAACAAATAAAGGATAATCTTAATTTGTTAATTAATCTTTTGTTGGTTTCATGATTCTATTCCAGCAATTCACTGTGCCAAAGAAAAGTGTGTGTCAAACAACAAAGATAACATGTACACTGATTTTGCTGATGAGCACAAATAAGCAAAAAATGTTCAGACAAGCTAAATACCACAATCATTCTATTATGAGAGTTTTGCAATAACATCTTTTTTATTATATGCTCATTGGAAGAAACTAATGTTGGAATCAATCAAACAGCATACCAGTAATATTATGCACAAAAACAGAAACACAATAAAAATCACAAATGCACATTAGAATACACCATATGTAACTAATAAGGAAACACCCAGCATCACACATTCTTTCAAATATTTGCTTTACAGAAGAACATCCTAATGAAGACATAATAGATGCTATCAACAGAATGGCATTTCAAATTTTGTGGAAGTGACGAAAAGTTCATTGGCAGCAGAGTAGATACAATTTCAACAAAGCAACATGTTATTAACATTAAACATTTTTTTAAAAGTAGATCATCAAGAAATTATCAAAAAGAATTACTTAAAAAAAGTTTTGCCAACAAAGTGGGCAATTTATAAAATGTGAAATTTTCAACATAAAATTAACACATTATACTCCAACATAACAAGCCCTAAACACACCAACTGACATGTCATCATATTTCTTTGCATCTCTTCATTCTGTTTCATGTTAAAGTGCCACTATATAACTACTGAGATGCAGGTATTCCCATTGCAACGTGTTGTTTGGTTGGAGGGGATGATGAGCTGTTGGCTACTTGCAGACCTTCCAATGCAGTGAAAGGAAGAGTGGCACTCACGGTAATTGGTGGCATACCTGGTAATGATATGGGTGTTGTTACAGGCATACCAGGGATGTTCGTAAGGGAAGAACCTGCAAGGAACCAAAGCAGCAAGATAAATAATCCATTCAAAGTTGTTTCTCACAAAATTGAAATGTAATTAAAAGTTTCAAAATAAAGTGTGTATATACAGGTTGTTCAGGGAGGAAACATCAAAACTTCACAAATAAGCTTTTAAGACAATTTTAAGCATATAAAACGGTTTAGCCAACACAGTAAGTACTCAAAAGTTGGTTTGAAAAAATACTTTCGAGGTAAAAAGCTGCATTGCAGAAACATAGAAACACACAATAAATATGTAAATTGTTTATTATGTGCAAAGGAAGTTCATATACTTCTTCAGAAAGAAAAATTAACAAAAATTAAAAAATATTTTACACAATTCAACTGCTTTTTAATTTCTGAGTATATTTTTCTTTGAGAACACACACGCGCGCACACTCCCCCCACCAGGTCTTTATCTCAACCCTTTACTGGTAGCACCTGTACTTGTTTGGGCAATTTACCAACCGCATGTCTTTGCATTCGTTCAAGATAACCGAAGAGGAGGTGGGCATCAGGTCATAACCTCAGGCGACGTTCCCATTTCTATGGTTTTTCCATTCAAGAATTTAGGCGGGCAGTCTCCGACTCCCTCCCTCTCCGCCTGTCAGTCTCCGGCTCCCTCCCTCTCCGCCTGTCAGTCTCCGGCTCCCTCCCTCTCCGCCTGTCAGTCTCCGACTCTCTCCGTTTGTCTGACTGACCTGACCCTGAAGTAGGTGGGGAATCCAACTATAACTAATACTGTCAAAAGAGGGAATCATGGCAACAAACGCCTCTTGCTCGGGACATAAGCAACAATAAAAAGCAAGCTGTACAAGCTGGGGAGTATGAATGAAATTTGTAAATATGTAATTTGATATAATATAATAAACTGAAACATTTCAACTTCAAAATAAATGTGTTAAACGGTCTCATCATACAAAAAAGTCAGCCAATGCCCGAATAACTTTCTCGACAATACTTGACATCCTATTCCCGAGTTTCTCACAATCAATAATAGCTTCAATGCATTCTTTTACAATACCTGTTGATTGAGGTACTTTTCAATTCTGAACCACTGTGAACCAGAAACTGTACCGAAAGTCTGAACTTGGTAGCACAGACAGCAGTATATATATTTATATTTATATATATAATAAGATAAATCGAGACAACAGTACTGTACCCTGGATTTGGATTCTGCAATGAAGGCCAGACAGATAAAGAAGAGAAAGGCAGAGAGGGAGTGAGCAAGAGACAAAGAGAGGAGGAGAGAGAAAGAGAGGGAGGACCTTTAATAGGTGTCCAAAAACGTTTGACCAGCAGTGTGCACGTGATTTGTGTGAGTATATGTATATATACAATTTTACATATCTCTATAAATAAAATTGTACATATTATTTACTGATTAATAGGCATATGTATATGCCTAATTTAAAAATATCACTGGCAGAAAAAATTGAAATACAGTAGAATTTTTTTGTAAATAAATTATATATTCTTTTCACATCCATAATGTTTTCTTTAATGTGTTAATTACTCAAGGTTAATTTAATTCTCTTCAGCCATCTGATATAAAAATGAATGATTTGAACTGGTGAAAGAAAGTGTAAAGGACTTCTGGAATGACAAGAAAGGTGTACCGGATTTACCTAATGCAGGAATGATTTTTAATTGAAGCTCTTGAAGGAGCACAAACAGTCCAGACATTTATCATATCCATATACTTTGCAATATATCAAATTCATATCTTATACATCACTCTCACATGCCTAGTTTGAGTACTAAACATGTCTACTCCCCCTCTCATCCAACAGATGCCTATTACATTTAATAAATTAAGGATAATATAGCAAAAGCCAAAATAAAAAGAACAAAAATGACCAACATAACATGGGCTAATAAAATGGAAAATGGTTAATTTCATTTGACACCTTTTGTTGTTTTAAAAATCTCTCTATAACCAAGTCTCCACAATGTAACGTACAAACAAACGTTCGAGATACATCCCGCATAAAAATGGAAAGAAAAAAAAATTACTTGTGGCGAGAGTTGTAGCTGTTCTTCCGACAGAAGGTACAACACCACTTGCAGTTGCCATTGTTTCAATACCACTGCGGGGAGGCAATGTGAACAAATGACTGGCACCAATAGTTGGAGTTCCACCAATTGAAGCCGGATGTGGGGAAATACTTGGATTACTACTAACAAGATGTAGATTGGCTACTTCAGAATTCACATCAGCATATGATGTCACTTCTGGCACAATTCCTGAGGAACTAATCTGCAAACATCATGTTTATTAAAAATGTGAAGAGGATAAACAAACACTGTCAAAGAAATTTTTAATTCAACGATACCTCAGGATTAAAACCTGTTCCAGGAGTTGTAACTGCAAATTTGTTTGATGGTATAACTGGTCCTCTCAGCAGATTTGTTTGCTCCACAGTAGTTGGTAACGGAAATATTGAAGAAGGGTGAGGAGGCATATCAGGAGTTTGGAAAGATGGAGGAAGTGGCTGAGGAGGTGGAGGTAGAGAGATTGGGGATGGTCCGATCTGGGTCACAGGAGGTACATATTCACTTGTAACTGGAGTAGTAACAAATTTTGAAACAGCTGCCGTTGATATGGATGGCAGATGACCTCTCACAGGAATACGATGTAAATAGCCATAGCCAATGCCACATCCCAAGCTGTAAACATAAACAAGATACTTAAGGTATATTATACCGCAAACCAAACTTATAAAATATTGTTTAGTAACTTCTATCACATATTTATTGAATTGTCTACAATGAAAACAATCATTAAAAAAAATTTGGCAAATTTATTTTGGGAGATAACGGAATTTTGTACAGTAGAAATAGACCCTGAGCCGAGATATCATAACTTTAGAACTACTATTTCCATTGCTTCAATTCTTTTTTCTCAGTATAAGAATAGACTTGAGCTTGTATAGTATTTAAATATTTTTAACATTTTTTGAATCGGGAAATAAAAAAAACAACAACAAAAAATAAAAATACCTTCATGTAATAATTTGTTTAAATGTTTTGTTTTGGTTCATACACTAGCTATATAGTTCTGAATTTCTACAAAAAAAGAATCAAAGGGTTATCTTACATTGAATCTGAGATTTTCTGAGAATCTGAGATTGTTGTTTCAAGTTTCTAATAACAACCAAAACATCAACTTTTAGAAAATTGCTTTAAAGATGCTCTAGAAAGTCTCCAGGTTTATAGGTTATGCCTTCTTCTTCTATGTCTAGTGGGTCTTCTAAATCTAGTGTATTTTCTTTCTAAACTTCTATTCTTATTTTCTGGTGTTGTCTGTTTTTGGTTCTATTTTATTTCTTTGAGGGGAACCATGCCCCTTTTTGAAAAAGGAGGCATGGTTCCCCTAATGCAAGGCCACATAAATATCCAACTAAAAACAAAGTAACAGATCGTAGAATAAAACAGGTTTTGACATGTTAAAGAGAATATTCTAAAAGTTCTGATTCTGTTAAAAGTCAAAGAAACTGATTACCTATGATTTCCCCATGTTTGAGGAACAATATACCTTAGCCCAATGCTCAACTAAAAAGAAATACACCAAAAGAATGTTAAGATTTATATGAAAATCAAATTATGAGTTCACAGTCATCACAACACCAGTACGAACTTTCTATGAAATTGTGGAATTCAAAATTACTGACAAAGGTTACTAAAAACAAAAAAATTATAGTGTTTAAGCATGGAAGCATGTTAGAGAGAAAAAAATATATTTTTTGAAATATTGATCAATTGGTGGTTCCAGGCATGTCAATTGCACAATCATTAGTCTAGTAAGTGTAGTGCATACTTTTTCCTCAGGAGTTGGCAGAAAAATTACCCCCAAATGGTGAAATCCAGAACAAACCTACCACTCCGCAAGTGGAGTTTTCCCCAACCAGGTACAGGGGAATTTCCCACCAGCAGGGCACTCCCTCAATCGGTCTCCCGGCATGTACAGTAGAGTAGTGGGTGTCACTGTGTGTAAGTATGTAAGCGTGTATAAGTATGAGGTGAGGATAGGACAAGAAAGGGATAGGGAAGATCACACCCTGTGTTTGGGTACTGTTTAGCATTCGCCTAGCATTGATCATGGAAAACTACCAATGAGAATACCAGCCTCTAAATTTCTTCTCAGTGAGATTGTATTCTACCTAGCTATTTAGCTAGTGCTATTTCCATGCTATTTCAGGATCTAGCAGATGAAATTGATGCGGGCGGGAGAGTAGACGCAATAGTTATAGATTTTGCCAAAGCGTTTGATGTCGTTCCCCACGATCAGCTCGTACAGAAATTAATGAATTCAGGCTTAAGATTTCAGGGTGGTGGCGTGGATTAGCGAGTTTCTGCAAGACAGAAAACAGAAAGTCCGAATTGGCCAAGAGTTTTCTACCGAGGCAAGCAGTACATCAGAAATACTGCAGGGGAGTGTCATTGGACCTCTTCTATTTCTAACGTTCGTCAATCTGTCAGCACAATTAATATCAAATTTTCGCCTTTTGCAGATGATTGCATAATATATCGTAGTGTGAATTCGAAAGAAAACGAAGAAATGTTGCAACGGGATCTTGATGTGTTACATACTGGGCGGCAAATAATGGAATGACCATAAATAGCTCCAAAAGCAAATCCATCACTTTTGGCAGAGGGCACTATTACAGAGAAACAAATTACCGTTTAAATAAAGACATTATTCCGATAGTTTCCTCATGCAGGTACATAGGAATCCATTGCGATAGTAAATTAAGCTAGAAAAGTCACGTAGATTTTGCTATAGGAAAAAGCCTGGAGATCTCTCCACTTGAAATGCGCACCTTAAAAATGAGTACGGAAAACGCAAAGGAAATTGCTTATTTATCGCCTTGTTAGACCGATAATGGAATGTGGAACAATTTGTTGGGATACGCACAAAATTTTGCAGTGTAAAAATTTGGAAAGAATTCAGCGTAGGGCAGCTAAATTTACTTTCAGGGACAAGAAATTGGCAAAATGGGATTTTCTCAAAAATAGGTGATCTGTAGCAAGGCTATTCACTTTTTATACAGCTTATAGCGGTCATCCAGCTCGGAAAGAAATTAATCAGCGGCTAAGTATTCCTACATACATCAGTAGGGGGGATCACAGGCACAAAATAAATTTAAGACAGCAGATAACAGATGTGGGGAAATTTTCTTACAAATCGAACAATAAAAGAATGGAATACATTGCTTGCAAAAACCTTTGAACCCTTTCCTCGTAGCGTACAACAATTTAGGAAGTTAATTTAGGGTTTTTGTATATAAATGAGGGAATAATCTGACAATAGTAGGTTATAGAGCGATGTGTCAGTTATATATTGTGAAGTGAAGAACAGAGAAATAATGAAAGAAGAGATTAAAGGGTCATAGTGAAAAGTGTAGTGAAGTGAAGTGTATTGAAGTACAGTTGAACAAAGATTCAGGGTGGAGTTTGATTATGTTTCTTTTTTTTTAAGGTAATTTTAAATTTTTTATGAATTAGACAGTTTTATATTATTATTTCATTATTATTTTATTATTACATTATTATATTACTATATTATTATTATTATTATTATTATTATTATTATTATTATATAATTTGCATGTTAGCTGTAGTATTTTATTTATGTAATCAGCTGTCACGGGGTTATGCCCATTTGCAGTTCAAATGAATTCTTTATCTTAAATTATAAATCACAGATTGTTCTTGTATATTTCATGTACACGACCCCCCAACCCTACCGTTGGTGTCGTCTGCATAGCACTTGCATAGCAACTTGAAAACAGATCATCACCGAGGTCACAAGTGTATACAATGAAAAGTAGAGGGCCTAGAGCTGAAACTTGGGGAACAGCAATTGTAATGGAATGAGGTATCAACAATGCGTTTTCAAACGTCACCCAAAGTGTTCTGCCCAATAATTATTACTGAATCCACTTCAATAGTTTACCTTGTATACTCAACAATTAGTTTGTAAATGACACTTTTATGTGGTACTTTATAGAAAGCTTTAGCATAATCTTGATAAATGACATCAACTGGTTGTTTCTGATCCAATTCTTTAGTCCATACATCTAGCGACTGGAGTAAATTTGTAGATTCGGATATTCGTGGAATGAAACCGTGTTGTTTACGAATAATATCATTTTCAAATGCATGATCTAAAAGCTGTCGAACAATTATCATTTTCCATGACTTTACTCACTGTGCTTGTCAAACTTATTGGTCTGTAGATATTTGGTAACTTTCTCCTTTCTTGAAAACTGGTGTGATGACAGCATTTTACCATGCAGGGGGCAACTTCCCTGATTATAATGATTGTTTAAATATTCAGATCAGTAAAGGGACTAGTTGTAGTGTACAATTTTTCAGATACACAATTGGAATACCATCAGGACCAGTGGATGAGTTTGTATTCAGTCTGCACATAATCAGAGCAGTTTCGATGTTCAAAAACTCAATAATCAGCAACTGTTTTAATAGTATATCCTTTTTCGAAATCATTTGAAAACCATTCCGCAATTTTACTTAGATCAGTTATCACAGAATCATCATAGGAGGACCAATTTTACAGCTAGTGTGTATATAGGAAAAGAATCTTTTCCCACATCATGAACAACTTGCTCTTCATGTTTTTGTTTACACTCTCTCACATTAGAGGTGAAATTCTTTGAGATGTTCCCATAGATAGTGTAACTTTCATCTGTTCCGGTCCTTTTGCTTAAATTGTCTTGCGGAGGCCACATCTGATTTTTTAGAATTGTGATTAAATTTATGGTTTATAACATCAAATGTCCTGCCGTAATTCTGGGTGATTGTCAGGTGTTTCAATGGATGTTTTCCAGAATGTGAGAGCTACTTCAGATTTAAAATCCTCTTGTCGTTCTTCTTATTGTTCACAATGCTGTTAAAATTTCAGACATTCAGAAAATAGGGTAATTGCCATCTGCTCATTGATAGATAATCTATGCACAATAAATTGTTCTAAATTGTTTAAAATTTTTATTCAAGTAGGCCCAAATTTGTTTGGCAAATTTGTCCAGTTTGTCTAATCTACCGTAAATTGGAAGTCTTATCTTCATCTAAACTTCAATACATTTTAGTTTGAGGTAGCATAGGATATCCTGTCAAAATTAGTATACCGAGGATCTGCCGCAATTCTGCACATGTCATATGGAAATAGAGGTTAATTTGATCACATACGTACTTCACAGATAAGTTTACATTGTAAACTGCACAACTAATTGTAAACTTACTGTTCTGCTCATGTTACCATATGCATTTCGCAAATGCTCCAATTTCCTTTTCTACATCAGATGGAACCTGAAGAAAACTAAGAGTTTCCTTGTCCATTTGGAATGCACCTCACTTTTCCTTAGAGGTTTCTGCATCTTTACAGGTTCAAGAAACTATTTCAGCATCTACTTCAGTATTTTTTACTTTGTTAGTAGCGTTATGAACCGCAACCCAACTGTATAAGGAGGTTCCAGTGCAGCATCATTATTAATTATGTACAAAACATAACAGAGAGATAAACTACAGCCAACGTAATAAGTCGTCTTGAAAAGTAATTACCTGGTTACCATCAAGATTTTCATCAATAAGACTGTCTACACCTGGAGGAATTATAACATCCACATCCCTATTATCTTGTTCTTCGATATCAAATTCTTCTAAAAGAGATTAGATCTCTGCATTTGTTAAATAACGTTTCTGAACCATTTATAAAATTGTGCATATAAAATGTAATTTGACTAATCAAAATTGTATAAACAATGTTATCACGTATCAGCTTCAAGTTCAAAGAACTGTGAACAATAATAGTGAATTTGAGCTGGGAGAAGTAAATACTTGCACACTGGTGGTAGCCCGAAGAGCAATTAGACATAAGCAGTGTGCAGTGTGTTCTTAATTATGCATTCATGCAACATTATGTGGAACGTAAAATAGACAACAAAGAAAATTTTAATAGAACATTTTCATATCAATACATCATAAAAGTAAAGAATTTTTTAAAAAAGATTAATTTGAATATTTATTGTGAAATAATAAAAATTATATCCTATATTTAAAAATCTTTTCATTCTTTGTAAAATTATGGCCTTTTAATACAATATTTTTTTTGCCATAATCAAAACTACATAGTTAAAAAATGTTTAAAACAATATATTTAATTTAAAAACTGAAAAGAACAAGATATAAAAAAATTTTGTGTTCACATGAGACTTAACGAATTAATATTGTCATCTTTAAATAAAACACCCCCACATTTTATGTAGATCTATGAAGTCCTATCTTTCTCCAGAACACCTGAAATGAATCTCAATCAAGAAATTAATTTGAATCTTTCTTCTTCCTGTTCTGAATCCTTCGATATAGGTAGAAAAAAATATTCAGCAATAATCTTGTTTGATGGCATTGTTATTTTCTGCAAATTCTCAATCTACATCTCTTCGCATCAAGCTCTGCTTTTCCTTAGAAAGCTCTATGAGATAATTTCTTCTAGTGTTGCAAATTGAACATCACGTGCAATGATAATAGTCATGCCTTATGATTTAAAAGCATAATAAAGAATCTTAATAGGTCATTTCTGATACCAACAGTATTCAATAAAATTATGGAGCAAAAAAATAAATTGAAACCATGAAATGATGTATCTAGAAAAAATGTTTTTGTGAATGACCCCAGAATTCTAAAGTTTAAGAAAAAAGCATAACCTGAATCATTTCTAGCAAACAATCAACTCACCTGCCTTCTCCCCCCCAAGAAGAATTTGGTGTAATTGATACTTCACGACATGAGTCTTCATTAGTATTATACACATACAGTTTCAAAGGTCGTCCCTCATGAGTTTCAATTAAGGTAAACAGATCTTCACTCTCATGCAAAACTGAATCAGCACCAATAATGTAATCATTGAAGGGTCTCAATCCTGCAATTTCTGCAGGAGATGAAGGATGAACCTCCTAAAAAGAAATTTGCATGTTAATCCTCAATCACAACCATTTACAACATTGTAAAATCTCTCTTGGCGATACTTATTTTTGCAACATTTCAAAATCTTAATACGTTCACATGGCATGCTGATAACCTCACAATCTACACAAATCCTTCTAGAGTATGATTTTCACATATCTCTAATATTTCCTACAACCACCTTCCGACATGAGAATTCTTTACTCTCTGATCAACCTCTGACCATTGCAACAAATCGCGAAATGTTTCAAGAATGAAAACTAAATATTCTAATTACAAAAAGAATGGCAATACTAACCAGTACATGCCACACGTTTTCATTTGCGCCCTCAAAAGAACAAAACCGAATGCTGACGCCCAGCAAGCCTTGTCCTCCCCATGAGTTACTTGGGATTATAATAACTTCCCGAACAGATTGTGTCTTACTATTATACACCGTCATCTTCACTTCCTTTTCAATTCCTGCTTTCAGAAGTTCCTTTAGTGTGTCATTGTCCTTATCCTTTAAAGAAAATCAATATATCATGTTGTGCTCTAAAAATGTAAGTAGATGGATCGAAAGTGAAAACCAAAACATACCAGGCGAGTGGTCCCAATTGCAACAATAAAATCAAAAAAAGCTTCCAGACCTGCTTTCTGACCAGGTGATCCATCTTGAACCTAATCATTATACAACAATAAATAGCATATTAAAATAAAATTCTACTGTCACAATTAAAACAAAAACAATCATAAAAAGAAATATTATGTAATATAACCTACTCCTACTTATTACGTACCAATTACATATAAAAGTTAACTTAAAGACAAATTCACAAACCTCTGTGAATTAAAAAACAAGAAAATAAATCCAAAGGGCACGCTAATGCTTAACATCCGTGACAAATAACAAACAGGAAATGACCGTACAATATAAACGTACACACTTAATATAAAACTTACACGTAATACGTGGTACCCTTCAGTACCTCCACCAGGGATTTCTACACTGTGCGTTCCGCCCATTTCTCGAAACTCAATTAAACTTTTATAATAGGAAGGAAAGCTCCATAACAGAAATTGATTCGCACACTCACAAACCCACAGACTCCAAAATACGTGGCACGATTACGGAGACGTCTGTTAACTGTTTCACGACAGCAGAACCAGCCATGGTGGAAAGAGATGGGTGGGCACTTGCGCATTGAATCCGGCTTCAGCCAATGACATTCAAGCACCATTTTACGACACAATATTAGCGGAAATTTTAAATACGGTCAAAAACCAAAATACAATTTGTACAACATTGAACTTTAGATCATATTATACAGTGCAATTGGCACTATCAGTTGAAAAAGATTAAAAAAGAAGATTGGGCCGTTTGTGAGAAAATGGCGTTTAAGAGTTTCCGAAAATGCGGAATTTTGAACTACGTTTCACAAAAAACTGTTGAATATTCGAGAAACTTTATACGACATTATATAAAGCACATACACTCATAAATATAATAATGGGAGCAAATTACCACTAATATAAGTATTAACGACGAGAGAGACAAGTCAAAAATAGGTTTGTAATTTTTTGAAAATAATATAGAATAGAACAATATGACGTTTATGTCGTCTTATATGGTACATTTAGCGCTATCCCGACCAAAACGTTTAAGAAAAAAAATTACCCGTTTTTAAGAACATCTTGTTTTTGTATTTTTTTAAATTGCACATATTCCTAGCAATATTGCGCGAAAACTACAAGTTTAAAAAATGTACATGACCTTAATGAAAGAACTATGGAGAACAAATTTCATTTGGAGCAAAATCTCTATCTTCAATTCGGTAAGTGTAGAAAGACGCCGCACAGAATTCATATCTGAAATTTTCGAAAATTGAGAGTTAAGCCTGAAAATTGGACAAATACCATCGATATAAGTGTATTTTACTATATTATTACAAGAAATTTTTAAAAAAGTTGTTGCCGTTTTTAAGAAAATTTTGAAAATGTCCGCAGGGCTTCATCTAAACTAACTCAACTTTTAAAGATTTAAAGGTTTTTTTTTTCAAATTTTCACATTTTCGATTCGAGCCAGATGGACAGGGGTTTCTTCAATTTGGAAAAAATCCTATGAATGGTTTACGCGCTAGTAGTATTTGTAGACGGGCACAAACAGACACACATTTTGTAAAGAACCACTTTTCTGCATCAGGGGACCCCAAAATATGTATTACTATTCAAAAATCTCGATATCGATTCTCCGCAGCATTACATAACTTTTCCTATACTACGTATAATACTTCGTATATACGTAAATGGAAAAGTCACTAGTGGTGCTACAGAATGGCGCAGACTTAGCCGAATTAGTTTTATATTTCCTTTCGTCTCGTCTAGCTATACGAATTTGCTACATACACTTGCGAACTGCCATTTATCGCTGCCCAAAATACATTTTTTTAAATTTGTCTTTATTTTTCGGTTTCCTATTAGAAGAACGGAAACTTTATTTTATGAATATTAAAGAACACTAAATCCATGGTAATTATAAATGGTAATTTTCTTTGAAAAAGTTAGAACCGGTTTTAAGAAAATGGTGTTATGTCCTACTGAAATCCCCCCATCGAAATTTGAAGCTGTTTATCTCAGAAATTTTTTGAGTTTCGAAAAACTTCATTCAAAGTCATTTGAAGCATTTCAACTCACATGTACAAAATCATTTAAAAAGGCTGGAAATATGCATTTTAACGGCGTGAGAGAGGATTTATGCTCACAATCTGTAATTTTTGAAATATCAAAGACAGTTTTTACTTTGTAGAATTTTAATTTGGCGATGGTTGTGAAATAAGCCCTGAACTATGGTGCGTATAAGAGCACCAAACTTTAACGGGCTTGTATTACATCAAGCGCGGATCCAAGGGGGGAAATCAGTGAAAGTTCCACCCCACCCACCTAAAATGTTTCAGTAACTAGTGATTTTAACTTGTCACGAATTTTTAAAGCAAAAGTATTTTTGGATTATCATTTAAACGAATAAAATCGTATCGCAGCATGATTTGAGTGTAGCCTGCAACGTTTTACAGAATCAGTAATGTACATATATGACGAAATAATTTTGAATGTTTCCTCCCAAAATTCTTTGTATCCGCCCCTGACTACATATGCTACAACTTGTGTTTGTATTTTTTTGTTTTACATGCAACGAAAGGTACTAGGACAAAAACAAAAAAGAACTACTGGTACAAAATGGCACAGACATTCTCGTGCGTTTCCTAATTTCTTTGGTTGGGGCCTTTCGCGGCTTTCGGTCGTAAAACTCTGGCCAACTGCCATCTACCACCGCTATTTTTCACATTTGCTCACTTTTTCGGTTTCCTAATCGCAGAAACGAAAAATTACTTAACGAATATTATTGAAGAGTAAAACCTCGTCCTATATGAAAATTTTCGTTGAAACATTTGATGCCTTTTAACAAAAATGGCATTTAAGCGTTACGTAATTACGAAATTTGAAGGTCTTTTTCACAGAAAACAACTGAGATTTCAAAAACCTTTATTACAAATTGTTTAAAGCTCTGCTGATCACAAATGCAATAATGTATACAAATCGCCGGAAATGTGAACATTAACGGCGTGAGAGATATTAAAAAAAACATTTATGTTATTTTGGAAGCAACAAAAGAATTTAGCAAATTAATTTTATATCATCTTAAACAGTGCAATTAGCATTACATGTACAAAAAGTTTGAAGAAAAAGTGGCTGCAGTTTTTGAAAAATGGTGTGTGTTTCAGAAAGTGCGGAAATTAGAACTCATTGTCACAGAAAACTATTGAGTTTTCGAGAAATTGTACCTGACATCATATAAAGCACATGTGTTCATAAATGCAATAATATACATAATACATACACATTTATACATTATATATATATATATATATATATATATATATATATATAACAAATCGACTTTAATGTAAATATTAACGACGTGAGAAAAAGTCAAAAAATACAAAACAAAAAAACAGAGAAAATCAGCGTTTATGTCATATTATAGGAGTACATTTAACACTATCCATCGCAAAAGTTTCAAGAAAAAATCTGCAGACGATTTTGAGAAAATATTATTAATATTTTTTTAATATTGCATATATTGGACGAAATGTTGCGAGAAAACTAATACTATTTTTTTAAAAAATGCATAACCTAAATGAAAAATCTAATTACTTTCACTTGAGAAAACATTTCACTTGAAAGAACAATTTCTATCTCCAATTTCCTAGTTGTACGAAGACGCCGACAAATTTCAATCTCTTGCAATTTTCAAAAACTCAGTTATCACTGAAAATTGGACCTGTGTCATCTTTATAAATGAATTCCCCACTCATTTTAAAAGAAATTTAAAGAAAAAAATTGAAGCCATTTTCGGAAAAGTTTTGTTAATGTCCCAAGAGCGTCATGTAAAGTACCCCCAAATATTAATGAATGTTTTTCAAAATCGCAGAGCTAGACTCAGATCATATCGCCAGGGGTTTATTCAGTTTGGAAAAAATCCTACGCACAGTTTAGGCGCTAGTGTTGTTCATATACACCAGACAGACGGGTAGACAGACGGCTGGACGTTTGAAACAAAAAGGTTTTCGGAATTGGGGGATCAGAAACCATGTATTACCGTGGAAATCTCGAAACCGATTTTCCACAGCATTACATAGCATAGCATTACATTCTCTATACTATGTAAATTACTCCGCATATACGTACGTGTACGTGAAATTAACTAGTGGTCATATAAATTGGCATAGATTTTTTCGAACTAGTTTGCTTTCTAATTTGGTTGGTCTGGGCAAACTAATATTCTGGTTCTATCCTCTTGCTAGCAACAGTCTATCGCACAGGTATATATTTTTTAGATGTTCTCAATTTTCCGTTTTTCTGATACTAGAATCGAAATTTTACTTTAAAAATATCAAAGAAGAGTAAAATCTCGTCAAATAAAAAAAACTTGAGTAATTTAGAGCCGTTTTTAAGAAAATGGCGTTTAAACGTAAGTGAAGATCTTTCTAATATTTCACGCAAGTACATTTCCAGCAATGTGTAAACACTATTGGATTTATGAGTTAAGTTGCTTTAAATGACTTCCAATGAAGTTTTTTGAAAATTCAAAAAGTTTCTCTTAAAAAGAGCTTCAAATTTCGCATTTACCGTAACTCTTAATCGCCATTCTCTAAAAAACAGTTCCAATTTGTTCAATGAAAATTGCCATTTAATACGAAGTTTTACTGTTGTGTTCGTGCAGGTAATATTGAAGTCACATATCTCGTTTAACAAACCACTCTTTATTTTAACACAACTAACTGAATACAAAGTGACACAAGAATAACATATGTGTTGGCGTTGGCCATGGACACGACTGCGGGAGAAGCGAGGTACATCTACCGATCGTGCATCATAGATGGCGACACTGACTAGGCGTGTTTACATCTTTCCCTCGAGAATGAAGTTATAATGATAATAAGAAAATCAATTATTTAAATTAAAGTAAAATAATATACACAACGTCTGATTATAATATGATGAGTCAGTTCACAACCAATTACAATGGTAAAACCGGCAAAAATAAGATACATTATTGCAATGATTTAAGTAGGTTATCAACAGATCTAGCATTATTCAACTTCAGATAGTTTAACACTTTAATCTACCATAGATGATTTAACAATCTTACTTATTAAAGAAAGTATAATAATCGAATAATACTGAATCTGAGTGAAGAGCTACTGCCTTAATACGGATAGTAGCTTTCTGTAAGGTATGCTGGAGGTCTTCGGTTTCTCTGCGAACGCCTGTTCTGTTGGACACCTGTAGGTCCTATGTCAACCTCAGATGGTTGCTGTGATGGGCTGATAGGCTGCTCAATGGGAACACGAGCAGCAGCTCCAGGGACATCCTCAGAATCAGCCACAGAGCCCGCTGACGTGGTTTGTCGATTTAAATCAAGTCCGGGGTAATCTATGTACATGTCGCGTCTTGGAGAGAGTAGTCTAAACGGATCAGCACTAGCCAATTCCACTTTAGTCTCTTCCTTGCTTGCCAAGATTTGATCGACGCTTCGGTTATGAGTAACCCCCTCTTGATCTTGAATAATGTACACTCGTTCTCCTTTGGGGGCCACGATTTTTCCCAATGACCACTTGGGTCTAAAGTTCCGATAATCTCGGAAGTATGACATCTCCTACTCTGAA